TCTTTAGGTCAACCTTTGAATACTCTCCGAACCCCCAACATTCCCTTTAGCTTTGTTGCTAGTTATTAAACATGCTAACAAACTAAACCAAGAATATGAAACCTGCAAAAAAATGATTTTGGCTCTTAAAACTAAAGACGGATGGCAGCAGGAAGTGATCACCCTTCTTGTTTTGTATGAAGAATTATGGAGTTTTTATGTTCTCATTATTATATGAAGATATAAGGATTTAAAATAAGATTAGTACAGATCAATACAAATAAAAGATCATGAGCAAGGGGCTTATGCCACCGCCAGCTGCCATCTGTGTTTGTCTGAGAGAAAGCAATTTAGGAAACAGGTTACTCATATTTTCTGTTTATTTCCCAGCTCACTGACTATGTTCATGTGCAGATTGAGAGAAAAGTCTTTCAGGCTGTGTCTTGAAAAAAACATTAAGTTTAGTTAAATGACCTGCGGTGGTTTTCAAAGTCTGGCGTGCAATTTATCTTTGACAAAAACAGATGCAGTAGCTGTGTGACTAGAATGTTATCGTCACTGCAGTCTCACATGATCAGACAATGAATAGAGGAGAAACTGTGTTATGGAAATTTACCAAAAGTGACTTATTCTTCCTCTCCGGTGACCAATTTGAAGAATGAGTATGCATTTCATTCATCAGATGTTTTTTTTTCTTCCAGGGACTATCGTCTCTGTTGCACAGCTCACCTGTTGTGACTCAGGGTGCATTATAAAGCTCTAGATTCAGCAGTCCAGCCATTAAGCTCTTTCATTAAATGCAACCTGCATCTTTTAACCCTTGTGTTGTTTTCCAAAGCTTTTACCGTTCATTGGGGTTCGCGGGTCAATTTTGACCCATGATGTATTTCAGTCCAAAACACACAAAAGAAATGACTATCATCCAATATTGTTTTAACTACATCATAGCTAACTTATTATGCATTCATAACCGTACAATCCTATTGTAATTTTATTTTATGGCCCCAAAACACATTACACCATGTGTGTTCAGGTTAGTGTACATATTCTTTGAGAAAGGTGGAGGGATGGGAGACCAGGTGCATGTTGCGAAAAATTATTGTTACAGTGGATGAAGGGGGAGAGATGTCTAAAGTCAAAGATGAATCTTGATTGGGCCAAATTTGACTCCGAGTCACCTACAACAATTCTGCTGGGTCTTCCCAGACCCGAACACCAAATTATACACCTTTTTTTTTAGAGACCTTCCGTCTTGGCTAAAATGGTCAAAATCAGTTTTGTAGTGTTTTTATAGCTGTTGTGGAGGATATCATCCTTGTTCCGATACAAAAAACTAGAGCATAGTTATTATATAATTTGAACTTGAAACGGGTCACGGGAGACCCGAACACAACATAAGGGTTAAATAGGTAATGTATGTTATGGAAATGTGCGGTGAAGATGTACATTTGTGCGTAATAAGCTACCATTGCAGGTGAACTATTAACAACCTTAAGCGAACTACTGTATATCACAGCTGCCAATTATCATACATTGACACAGATGAACCCCTACAACACTACCTACATGGTATCTATTTATTGCACAGTCAAAGTCTGAAAGGCACAAATGCATTAAAATGATGACCACGTTTTAAATTGTTATCATGTTAATTATTGAGGGAAGCTGTCAAGAAAATGCATCTTCCATAACAATAAGGAACATAGTCAAATATTCCTTTTAATAGTGTACCTTTGCTATACATGACTTTGGACAAATGTTTGACTTGTTTAAGCCCTGCATCAAAGATAGATACCAGAAAAAACGTAAGGTTACGGTTGAGTGGATATCACAGAATGAGTACGATTGATTTGATTTTCATGCTTGGATTGGCACGACATTTGGTGTTCACATTTAGCTCCCAAGAGGCAGAAGATGATTGATTTTGGTGACCCTGTGACGTCTCTTTAGACGCAACACTCACAGCCAACACCGACCCTCACAGTCTCAAAAATCATTGAGGGAAGACGCTAGAGTGGCGTTAAAATTCCTCATCTGCACATTCACATTCCCAACAGGAACTATTGACTAGCTATGTGACCTTTGCTCTACAACATTATGATGCCAAACTTTATATGTTCAATCATTTGACCCTGAAAAAAGCCGTCACAAAGCTAGGATTATCTTTAGTGCATCTTCATGATTCTGGTTTTCAAGCTACTTAATGTATTGTTACATCCAGAGGTTTTGATTTAGCTTCTGTATATATATTATATTGTATTTTGGAGCGGATCCAACAACAACACGGCTTGTTTTTGCTCACATTGAGAGAAAGGCATCTGGCCTTGGTGTAGGTCTGCATGCTCACAGTGCCCTTAAAGTTGTTTTGTTATTCCGGTCTATTGTATGAAAACTATTTATCATGAAGTCTGACTCATTCTGTGAATCCTTTCACATCTTTTGGAATGTTATAGTTGCAAAGTCTATTTATATGTGGATGGATTTATTGGCAATAAATCAGCAGGCAGACAATGCCAGCTTCCCCTTTCTTTCAATCGTTGAATTTGTGATTTCTTCAGGGAATTTCTTTATTGCACCATATCACTGCATATACCTAGCTGCTGTCCAATAAAAGTATGGTATCAGAACAGGGAGCTCCTTCAAAAAAAATCTGTGGTTTTCAGGCAGTGATGTCATTTTCATAGCATAGATGGTAGTCATTTTATTGCAAACTCATTGTGACCTTGTCAAAGAGTACATTTGCTATCTATCAGCACCGCTGTTTCTAATATCATTAATCAGGACAGCATGACATTAAGATGTGCTATGCTTTTCTAAATGGTGATGTGCCTTTGTTAATGTTATCAGTTACACCTGTAAACATGTCCCCCTCACCTAACAGGTTTTATTTACCACAAAAAACACCAATTAACCTATTCAGTTTCAGCTATAAATACGCTGAATCGGCCAATCTTAAAAGGTTAACGAGATGAACTAATGGCATTAAGCTGGAGCCATAAATAGTAGCTTAAACTCCTGTAAGTATCCTAAACATTTCAATTCAGTTGTTGTCACGAAGCAGTCTCAAACAATGGGTATTGCTGCAGCCGTGACAGGCAGGAATAATATACAAAACGCTGAAGCTGCCTTGCAATGAGATGTTTTCTTATTCTTTCAATCTTTTCTTCTTTTTCAGCATTTGGCAGAATCAGACCTCCCACGTAAAAGTGGCTTATTGTCAAAGTGAGAGGGAAGTTATAGGGTGGATAAGAGGGAGGTAGAAGTGAAGATATATACGGTGATATATGGGGATTAAACAGCTTTCACTCCTGTTGAAATTAAATCTTACTTACTGACATCTCGCTTCCTGCTCTCCTCTGGGCCACGATCCATGAAAAGTCCTGCAGTCGGGGTCAGAGTGCAGATCTACAGTGCTTCTCTGTCCCCTACAATGAAAGGAAAAACAATGCAATTAAAATCAGAGCATTGCTATTTTGGTGCTGTCACAACTGAGTCATGCAACAGCTTCTCTCCCAGTAGGCATTTCATACATTTCACTCGAAAAACAGCTCATATCGAATTTGATAAGCATGGCACATTGCCGCCTGAAAGGGAGAGAGTGCATAATCCTGTAAACAGGACACAGATGGAGAATTCATGCCTTGTCCTTTTTCCAAGGTGCTTCCTAAAAGTACTTTACCTTCCACTGATTGCTTGTTACACTTGAATTCTTATAAAGACATCTAGATTGTACATGTTATAGTGTGGGTGCAGAATTACAGCATGTCTGTGTGTAACTCACTCATGTTTTATTAGCAGAATAAACCTCTGACCAATGTCATAATCAGACTCTGATTAATCATAACACCAGTTTGTGTAAATCATACCAAGAACGGCTCCCCTGCAGCATGTTTGTAATACATCACATTATAATTCAGGTCTGCTTTCATACTGATTTGCCCTACAATGACTCCAATATGTCTAATAAGAATGACAGCAGTATTATTTTTGCCTTTATGTTAGATACGGGGCTCAGCATTTTGCTCAAGGGCGAAAAACAGTGCACTGCTGTGTCTGTGACGCATTGTAGGGTCACTCAGGTGACGTTATCATCTCAAAGGACTTCATTCAGCTGCAAGAGAAAACAGCAACATTTGGACACTAGGGTCTCACTAATCTGCTCGTTAAATACATGTTGCAGCTATTACATTTAGATTTATATTATATTGAATTGGTGTACTTCAACTAAAGTAGGGTTTTCCAAGAAGGGCACTTACTTGTTATGACGTACAACACTGTACTTTACTTAGGTATAAGTATCTGAATATTTCTTCAACCTCTGGATATATGTCTTTATTTAGTGCATTGACTTCCCTGGTGCTACTTTATTGTAACCTTTTTAATGCATTTGTTTTGTTGCAATCTACTGCATGTGCTTAACCTGGTTTGTACACATTAAGATATCCTGTATAAGTTACATGAAATAGAAAGGCTCTGTACCTTCCCATCTCATGTAGCATAAAGGATGACATATGATTCATTTAGTAAACATTTTAATAACAACTTTACTTATATAGCTACTTTTATGCAAGGTGCAAATTTCCTAAAGGAAAAATATGAGATGCAACAAATAAAAACCAAACAAAAAATACTCAATATGAATTATTATAGTAGTAACTATAACTATATGAAATGGACCATTCTGCATAACTGCTACTTTTTTTGTAAGTATTTATTGTAGATAGTACTGGGGCGGGTAAAATACATTTTCATGTATTCCTCAAATATGTATTGTCTTATAATAATATTATCACCGTATTATTTATTTTACAACTGTTTTAAAAAACTGTTTCTTTTAGCTATTTATTTCCCTAACGAATGCATATGGCTCTTGGGAGTGAAATAACTTTTTATTTGAGTATTTAATAATTTGACCCTGACCCTGCAGCTGGAGGCCGAGGATCAGGGTGACCACCAAGCGGCGCTTCAGTCCCAGTGGCCGGGCCGGGGTGAGCTGAGGATCGGGTTACACACCGCCCCGTCTTTATGCCGCACACAGAGCGCCGTTAGCCGCAGGACAACAGCAGAGTAGAGGGTACTGAGATCCGGGAAGTAAAGGCTCCACACTCATGTAAGTGATACATTATTCTCTAAAGTCGCTACGGGAAATCTTAATGAACATTTAGGATTATTGAAACAACTAAATATGTGTGCAACAGGCGCCTTTGTTAGCTACACTGTCGCTAATGAGAGGAAAATATCCCGAGACGTCTATCCTGTGGTCACCGAGAAGCAGAACACAGGGGGATTTAAATAGCTTTTAGTGTCTCTTTCTAAGTATAAAGTGTGTTCAGTTCACTGTAAGTAGCCTCAGTTTGACCCACAGCAACGATACTTTAACTTCTTCACCGTGGGAAGCCTGTTGCTCCTCCATGGATGAGATGGAGGTGGAGGAGGAGCTGAGGAAAGCGGATTGTTCCGAGAGCCCTGGTCACTTTATCAAAACACTAGCTAACCTCAGTGGATTTACTAGAAATACGCATACTTATATTGTAGCAAACGCTTTAATATGATAAGTAAGTGTCACGCGGCCGGGGACATAGTCGAGCTACTTTGGGTTTTATTTTGCAGAATAAATCCTCGGTGACAGTCCGGTATTATTAGCATATAGTCACAGCAAAGCTGACACGTGATTATTTTCGGAGGTAAATGCATCCTTAAAGCTCTGTGTTTGGGGTAAAGTCCACTTTGTGACATTAGCTAATGGGTTTCTGAGTCATTTGAGTCACATTTATGCTTCTTTCTTTTTTATGTAAAGCACACTAAATTACCCATGTGTAGGCCTATGTTATGTGCTACACATATGAACCTGCTATTTTTGTATATTAATGCAATAGCATATTAAAAACAAACTGGGCAGCCTAGAGAAATAAACTACTAAATCTAAAAGCATATTATTATATTAATTGATTGATTACATTTAAAAAGTATATTTCTCTGGAACTGGATGCCAGTTGTTATATTAATCATTATGTGGGTGCTCATACACATTACAAATGTTTTAGTACCAGTAAGAAAGTAGTAAAAATCATCGGATTTATGCAGCACTAATATATTTCCCTGCAGCTATTTATTAAACATTTGTATAGTGCAGGAGATTCAAAATGAGATTTTACACCAAATAAACCCATTAACACACAGCGACCACATCTTGTATTTGAAAGTCCATTAGTCATTTAGAAAGGTATAATGAAGCAAAAATAAATAAAAACAAATAAACTTGGCTGATACTGCTGACTCATGCTGGAGCTATTCTGAGAGTCGGCTTTTAATTACCTCTGCAATCTCCTTTAATCGTGTAATGTCCCCCTGAGTCATGTCGTGCTCGTAACAAAGCTTCTGCTGGACTCAAGTGTGACAGCCATGACACTGATGACAGTGTTAGCAAAACATAAAAACCCACAGCTACCTCCATATTATGTGTTAAAAATAAATACCTTCATACTGTGTTATTATCAGGCTTTAGTTTAAAGATGCGATGAGTCAAGGTTTCACAGCTTCATTCATGCATGTAAAAAATACCTGAAAAATATCAAATAAAATGAAAAAGATGGTCTACTAACTGTCAAAAAACATTATAAATCAGATGCATTTGGAGTTATGGAAAGGATATTAATTATTAATATTAGAAAGATAATTCAGACATTGGATTAGATTATTTTCAGAAATATTAAATATGCGAAAAAAAAAGAAATACAAAACCACACAACTAAAGTAATAAATAAGGTTACAGTTTATTCTCTCTCCTGTTGGCTTAATGTTAGTAACATTCTTATAATAATAAACATGCACAAAATGTGGAGGTCCTCTCCATACGTCATGCCATAAGTTGTTGCCGGTAATTTTGCGACATGCCTACATAGAGTTGCATTAATCAGTTGATAAGTTAAATGACAAAATGTCATCGGCAACTTTTTTGATAATTAATGATGAACATTGTAGTTTAGTTTGTTTTTATTGTCGCTTTTATTATGTATTATGCAATAGATCACGTTAGGCTGTGGTAAATTCTAATGTGCATTTCATATTCTGACATTTTAAATAAAAAACAATTAGTCTAGAAAATAAACCACAGATGAATACACGATAAAGATAATTGTGGCAGTGCTATTATGATCCACGCAGAGTATTACACTGGTTTTAAAATAACTGATAAGACTGACTATAATTATTTTTAATCAGCAGAATGCTCTTTAACGTGCTATGTTTATCTGATAGGAGTAAATTGGACCACCGTGTTTTCGCTGGCTGCAAACATGTCATGCATATTCCAAAACTGCTGCAACAGTGCAGTGAATGACATCTCTAACACACAGTAGATGTGACTTCAGTTCTGCAGCACCATGTTCCTTTGTTGCTGTTATGGTGAAGCATTTTAAGATAACAATATGTTCCCTGAAAGAGCAGAAATAAATCACTTTTGCTCTTCATGTTGACCTTTCCAATAGAGAGGTTTTTAAGAGGTGTGGTTCAGACGAGAATTAGTGTCTACAGCTCTTACTTTCTGTTTCTATCGAGTGTGTTGTGGAAAGATTGTGTTTCCAGAAATGTATTTCTCTGACTGTTAAGAAAAAGCCGTTGTGTTTTTTTTGTTACAGGCCTTGAGGAAGGGAAACGAGTGACGTTGCTGTTAATGGAAATAAATCACACCCATCTGGAATTGTAAAAATGATCGAAACAATGGGTAAGTAATCACTTTGGTGACTTTCTCTCCCTGCTAGTCTTCTAAAAAATCATGATAAATAGCCGTAAATCCTCCCAAAAAGTGTTTTGCCTATAGTCTTGCCGTGGACCAACTTTACTGTCTCTTATACAAAATATTACACACACTACAGGAAAGGGAAAAAACACAAATGGCATAAAAGGGCCTCTTTAACATCCTTATGCAGCTGAAACAGATGCCTGCATATCTGTGGCAACAGAAAAAACCCAGCTGATACTCTAATGTTATCGTCTTGTTTACAACCGTTGTTCAAACTACAAAGCGTCTTAAGTGCAGAAAGTGCTCCTGGACATTATAAAAAGCTCGATGAGGTGTTAGTCACGGTCCGTGAGCTTCGGAAATTGCTTCATTTTTGTCCAGCGTAGGCCGGGCTGACCCATCCTCACTAACAAGCCTCTCTGGAGTTTACAGCTTATGCAGGGTCCAGCAGGCAGACTGCGGAGGGGCTGCTGCTCTTATCTGCTGATACACACTCTCTGTTCCTGTGCAACACACCACTGACACTAATGGAAACAAGAGGACACATTGCTATTCTGAAGAGAAACTGTTTTATTTCTTCTGGTGCAAAACCTGATGCTACGTGATCTTTAGAGCAGCCGAGTTTCCTCTGTGCCGATTTACTGGTGGAGTGTAATGAAGTGTACTTACTAAAAAAGTACATTTTCGTATTGTTACTTTTACTTAATCTGAGTACTTCTTCCACCACTGCTATTTACAGATAGTTAAAGATACATATATATATATATATATATATATATATATATTTTGAAACACAAATGCTAAAAGTACAAATACAAGTGTATTTTAAGGTCCAAACAACCTTTCTATCTCATTCTCTGCCCATGCACTGATTAAGCCTCTCTTCTCCACCGTCCTCTCCTCCACTCTGGTGCTGTCACTGAAATATGTGACGGCCTGCAGACACTCAGCGTGCCTTGCAGGCGGTGGAGCGTCTCCAGGCCCGGCTGAAGGAGCGGGGGGAGGTGCCCACCGAGGAGAAGCTCAGCCTGCTCAAGTCTGTGCTCCAGAGCCCCCTCTTCCACCAGATCCTCGCCCTGCAGAAGTCCGTGCAGCACCTCAGAGACCAGGTACCCCCACAAATATTGCATCCACATAATGTGAAAAACACAACTATTGGACTATTTATCTAATGAAGGGTATGCTTTTAAAAAAAATGTTTTTAATGTAAACGATGCATGATGCTACAGCTGCAATTAATGGTTAAGTCTCTTAAAAGGGAATCGGCAACTGATTTGAGTGATAGCAAACATTTGTCTAAAATACGGAGATTTGCTACTTTTATATCATATTAAAGGGAAATGTGTCATCTTTTTGTATTGATGTTGCCATTTCCCACCTTTTATTTTGAAATGTTTTCCTCCTTGTGTCTTGTCTGGTCCTACTTCCTGTGTTTGCCTTCCTGTCTTTAGTTTCCCTCCTGTGTCTGTTGCTCTTGTGTTTCTGCCTCCCCTGCCCAACTGTGTCTTGTCCTGTGGTTACCCTTCTGTGTATTTAGTCTTGTCTTCCCCTGTGCCCCATGTCCGATCGTCCTCTCTTCTTGTTCATGTTACCTGCCCGTTTTTCTCGTCCATGTTACCTTATCGTCTTTTGTCCTGGTTACCAAAATGTATGACTATGATCTTTGAACTTTTTGTTTTTTTCTCTATATACAAACATTTTCTAAACCTACAATAAGCCGAATAAACCTTTGTATGTAGTAGCTGCTGTGCACAAGACAAACAATTACAGCAAGTTACAATGCTTTGGATATATATTTGGGCGTTTTATTAATAGTTTGAAGACTGACTTGAAGTGTTTTGGTTACATGACAAACATAACATCTTCAACAACAAGGTCAAAAAGAAACTACAGCATCACAGTAAGGTTCATTTATCAACAATGCTTTTATCTTTCCTCCACCCTTTAAAATCCCCTCTCCCAAAAGTGCTGCTGCTTTGGCCAAATTGCTGTCAGGGTTCATGAGCCGACCGTAGTGAGGGTACAGATAGAAGGTCTAACCTTTCAGGCTGATTCTCTCCATTGAGACTAAAACGTTTGAGAGGAAGAGGCAGAGAGCTCTCCAGTCTCAGTGGAGTGGGGCCGGGGCGAGCGTTTGAGAAATAGAGACGGAAATATGTGAGCTATGCAGTGGGAGGCAGGGATGCTCCAGCCTTTAGCCCACTGAGGAATTTAGATTATAAAAGTCTGCTGGCATTTCTCTATGCTGGGGGTTTTACTCATTGCAAAGGAGTCCTACATTCCTCCTGTGTGTGTGCTGATGCATGCTTTCTTTTGTAAGCAACACTTACCAAGCAGGTATTTATCATAATTTCCCTTCAGATCTGGTGAAAAGGGTAAGAAGTCTCAGTATAGTCACCGTCAGCAGGACCAGTTTGGAGCGAGGGTGCATTTGTTTTGTGTGTTGTTGTCAGACAAGAGCCAGACATAAACACACACACACTGTCCATCTCCTGGCTCTGGTAGTTAGGCCGCGCACAGTCCACGTCGCTATGGTGACCAGGCCCGACTCTCCAATAGGAAAGAGGCCACCGTGTGAAGTGGGGCAGAAACAATTTCTTAAATGTGCAAGAACCAAACTGGAACTTTAATCCTCTTAGCCAGGCCCCAACTAACAAAGCTCATGCAACTTAGCCGCATGCTACGCTACGTTAGCGTGGCCCATAGGGCTGTGTGCAGCGCTAATGTGCCCTGTTTCTCTGCACTAATCTGGGCCTGTTTTAAAGGCAGCTATAATTCACACTACATGTTCCCAGAGCTAAAAGTTGTGCAGCCAACTTCCCAGAATGCAAATGCACAAGTTCACAAGGACAGCTTTAGCTCGGCAGTGCCATATGCCAAATGAGTGTTTATGAAACTTTGTGTGTGTGTATTGAGTTATTGTATTGAGATGGTCATACACATTTTGCCCTTTGGCTAATGAAATTGGGAAAACACTGTTTTATGTAGATGTCTCATTTATGTAATTTATCTGTCACACAAGTAAAGTCATTGCAGTAATTAAAAGCCAAACATATTAAGGCTTCCAGATGGCCGGTGATGCTTCCCCCTGCCGCCATGGAAATATTGTGTTTGGAGCCTTGTCATTGTTGGAACATCAGCTAAGAGCCATTATACCCTGAAGGATTAGGCTGTCAGAGATCCAGCTAATCATGGCGGGATAACTAACTATCTGGCATCCCAGTGGCCTCACACACACACACACACACACACACACACACACACACACACACACACACACACACACACACACACACACACACACACACACACACACACACACACACACACACACACACACACACACACACACACACCAGGGCTTTGGTGTCTAAAATTAAACTAAATGTTTACGTCCACAGTTGGAACGAGTCATGATGTGTTCTTGTTTGAACTTTTAATTGTTTTCAATTGGATTATTGGCAGTAATTGCTGCTCTCTGCAGGATTGTTTTGCAAGAATCCAGAGCTGTTATGTAGGCATAAGCATCACGTTTATTTTTAGATAAAACATGCAAAACAGTCATCTGTAATCTGTCACTGCAACATCTGCAGTTTTCGACTTAACTCACTACATATCTATTTCTATATTTTCAGGAGAGTCTCCCAGGGTCGCGTGAGACTGACCTCTGCGATCATGTCGCAGCAGTCAACCCCAACGGCGGCCATGTTTCCTACTCAGACATTTCAGCTTCTACTCTCATCAACGGCAAGCCATCGTCTGAGGAATTTGAACATGTTGTTCACTCCATGGCGCAGGTAAACACATCTGTAAAGCCGAGGCAATCACTGTGCTGTTTGTCAGTGTAAGATACTCTGCTGCCAGGCTACTGTTTTATTTGATGTATTACCGCAATAATTTTATGTTTGGGTAATTTTACCACATGCACAAGAATCAGCAGGTAGAAAAACCTTAATGATATCTAGCACTACAGGCTAGAAGTTTACTCTAGAGGCATTTCTAACACACTTCTAAAGGCAGCTGCAGCTTTGAAGCAAATCAGCACACCGCCAAATAACATGTGCAAATATATATGTGTTTATCATTCAGGGACGCTACCTGGCACATGTGGATCTGCAGAAGCCAGAGTCAGGGGGTCTGGGCTTCAGCGTGGTGGGACTGAAGAGCGAGAACCGGGGAGAGCTTGGCATTTTCATCCAGGAAATTCAAGCAGGAAGTGTGGCCGACTGGTATGTTAGAATTAACACGCCCTAGCACTTTTTCAGACTTTTCTGGAAATTAAATGTATCTCGTTTCTAATTGCACCAACAAATGTAATCAGAATGAAACCGGGACTTAAGCACCAGGTAGAATTATTAAATGCATTGTCCAGGGCAAATTATTGCTTATTTTAATTAGTTTTCCACTTTCAAAAATGCAAAACACAATGGCTTAAAGTCCTTTTGTTCCCTGGTAATAAAAAAAACCCAGCCTTTCTGGTTCCCAACATTACCCCAACTGTCACCAAAATTCCTGATGCTGCCTTCAAAATAAAAGCTTAAACAACAACTGGAATTTACTAAAATAATGACAGTAAATAATGAACCACTTACACTATACAAAACGCAATGGAAATGAATGTTTAACTATTAAATTATACATAGAAATTAATCGTTTCAACTCTAATTGTTATAATTTTTTCAATATAAAACTACATTTTCATGCCTTCAGAACATCATATGGCTTACAAAATACTCAAAATATTGAAATGTCAAATAGAAGCACAATCAAATGTATCCTTAGAGAGCAATGTGCCAACACAGAGAACAAAACGGTTACACAACTAATGGTTAGTCTCCACTATTACGCTACTCTATGATAAAGACTTGATCAGAGGCAGATTTTGGTTAAGCTCTGACTTCATTTACCGCCTGTCCCCCTCACTATGTCCCTCTTCCCGGACAGCGATGGAAAGCTGAGGGAAGCGGATCAGATCTTAGCCATCAACGGGAAAATCCTGGACCAGACAGTGAGCCACCAGCAGGCTATCGGCCTCCTGCAGAGCGCCTCAGAGAGGGTCCAGCTCACCGTGGCCAGAGGACCCATCCCCCAGCTCACCAGCCCCGCAGTGTCACGCACACCCTCTGCAGCCAGCACCCTGTCTGCCAACTCCAGCGCGGTAAACACACACTCTAATATCAGCCATGATTTCAACTTGCTCATTTAGACAACCTAATTTTTGCAAAACTCGCAAAAAACAACGCTTTACCGATACACAAAGACACATTAGAAGCAGATCCTGCAATCCAACATGGCAGTCAAATGTGTCTGTGGCTATCAAACGGCGTACATACATACACTTTACTTACTCATCCAACACAGTTCATGGCTGGATACATTTGTACGAATGTTCATTTGTTCTATTCTTCCTCCTCTTTCCCGGTGCCTAGTGGCAGCACGTGGAAACGATCGAGCTGGTGAACGATGGCACTGGCCTCGGCTTCGGTATTGTGGGAGGAAAGACCACCGGAGTTATTGTGAAGACCATCCTTCCTGGAGGCATCGCTGATCAGGTGACTGCTTTTTCTGAGAGTTTGCTTTAAATGACTAATGTTTCTTTCAATGAAGATTCTTTGTATATACTGTAAAGTGTTTACAATAAAAAAAGGAAAATGTCTTTGTATTTTATGTCACTTTAAATGTTCTAAAGAGACGGCCCATGTCAATTAGGGATAATGAGAATTGCAAGCTAACTGTCACTCTTGTCTTCTGTTTGGTACTGAGCGTTTTATTAAGGGTTTGATTTCATACTGAAGCTACACAGACTAATTAATGGTTTACTGCACACAAGTGTCAGAGGCCCACTCGACTTCACCTACAAAATGTCACTCAAATAGCCACGTTCAAACCACAAAGAGGCATGAAAAGGACAGCAAAATGACACAAAATGACTACAAAGAAATAATAAAATACTATAAATAGAAACAAATAAACTAAGAGTGATTCAAGATTACCAGAAAGGGACATGAAACATAAAAAAGAAACACAATGCGTGTCTTGCTTCTATGTAGAAGAGATGGAGGATCTCTAGCATGTCCATACCCAAGGGCCCAAGGTGTCATGGGTAGCTTACCTACACCTGCATAAATTGTACTGATATAAACATGTATCAGACAAAAAAAAAGACAGAAAATTACCACAAAAACCTTAAAAAAAATACCACAACATTTTAAAATCTCTCTTGTCTGTCTGTGCCCAGGGGTCAATTGTCTGAAATGTGTTTTGTTTTAGGATGGCCGGCTGCGCAGCGGGGACCACATCCTGCGGATCGGGGACACTGACCTGCTGGGGATGGGCAGCGAGCAGGTGGCCCAGGTCCTCCGGCTGTGTGGGAACCGGGTGAAGCTGGTGGTGACCCGGGGGCCCCTGGAGGAGGGCCCCTCGGTCGCCGCTGTCATGCCTGTGGTGCTGCCCACCGTCAACGAACAGGTAAGGGGACTGCTGCACTTTGAAAAGAAAAGAGAAAAGTTTTTAAGTATAGGAGTATCACTACAGCGATTCACTGATGATTGATTATTTTAAAGAAAAACAAGTTCACCTCCTTTGCCTCCATCTTTATTCCCCTTCTCTTCGTGGTTCTGAAATGAATTGAAAGAAAACTGCTGATTAATTTGCCTGTGACTCATATTTTGAGAGCAAATGTTGATTATTATTTATTCAGCTCTAAAACATCGATTTCACATATATTTTCAAGGCTCAGCCCTATTCAGACATTGAATGAAATTCGGTGACTCACTTTATAATTAACATCCATTTTGCCTGCACACATTAGGGGTCTATTATTGTCACCAGCATCAGATCGTTTATTATCAAAGATTTGTTACCCATGTGGTGCAGTTGATGATTTGTTTTCCTTTTATCTTGTTATCAGTGGTAATTTACCTGTCTTTTCCTCTGTTCACAGGGCTATGAGGAGGAGGAGGAGGAAGAGGAGGAGGAGGAGGAAGAGGAGGATGAAGCGTTTGATGTGAGCCTGACGAAGAACGCACAGGGTTTGGGCATCACTATCGCCGGCTATGTTGGAGATAAAAACTCAGGTGACAAATAGCAGACTGAATGACCATTCAAATCAGAGTATGATGTTCAAAATAAAAATATTTATAACTTCAGTATTACACAAGTTGTGTCAATATATTAATTTCCAACAAAGGCACTAATTTCCCCTCCTAATAAAACACTTTACAAATAACTGTTACTGGTAGTAATGGATTGATAGTATGTGTGTCCTTTATGAGTGCTTTAGCCACTTTTAGCTTATCGTGTTAGGTAAATATTAGACATAAATCCCTCAGTTGGACAGAACACTTTAAATGAATGTATGCTAACGTGTTAGCCTAATAACTTTATAAGGTGTTGTCAATGTCGGTGTTTGGGAAATGATTAGCTTCAATATAAGTGCACAGAGTAAGCCTTTTTATTATGAGCTTCTTCATTCATTTAATTAAATTGAATATGAAATGGCCTTGGCTGCAAAGTCTTTACTTTTCAAGGTTAGCATTAGTGCACTGGGTTCATCCCATTATTGTTTATGACTCATGTAATATTGAAACATCTGTTAGCTTTCCTCCTCGGGTCTTAATATCCAGATTTACAGCTTTGTTCTTCATCTTTCTTTTTATTTTGTGTCCTTGTTCTGCCTCCTCAGAGCCCTCTGGCATTTTTGTGAAGAGCATAACAAAAGACAGCGCTGTAGATCAAGATGGCCGCGTCCATGTTGGAGACCAGATAATAGCTGTAAGTGCAACAATTATGCTCTTTGTGCTTTCCTCTCTGTAATGGCATGAGGTAAAATATTCAGTGAAGGTTTATGAGATGTATTACCGTGAGGGAATGGAGGGTGATTATGAAATGCATGATGAATAATTAACTGATAGTTATTAAAGTGTTTTTTATTGTGACTGGGACTCTTGAATTAGCTTCATTTCTGCAGGGCGTCAAACTGTGTTCATCATTTCATCATTTTGAAATTAGTTAATGTTGCCTTTGTGTTTTTGAAGTCCTCACATCCTCCTGTTTTGTTACTGTGTTTATGTGTGCAATAGTTTTATTCTTGTGCTTTGGGATCCAATTTAAGAACTTTAAGCATTTAATTGACTGAATTATTTAAACTTGGGGGTTTTGAACTCTCCTAAATGATCTAAATAAATAAAGTTAATGGCTTGAATAGATGGGAATACTCTGGTGCTGTTTAGGGCTGCGAGTAATGATGATGTTCATTATAAATGAATGTGACGACTATTTGTTAATGAATTATTAATAGTTTCATAGTTTGGTGAATTAATTAATAGTTTGGTGAATTAAATGACAGAAAACATTGAGAAGTGTCAGTTTATCAAAGTCTAAGTAGATGACTATAAATGTCTGTAAATCCAGATTTGATCGGCTACATTTAAAAAGACATTTTCGCATGATAAATGACTTTAATAATTATCCGAAAAGTCCAAGCTGATGAATATAAACATCTAAAGAAATTCACTTAAATATGATTGAAAAAATATTGAAAGACAGGTTTTAGAGGCTGACAACAGCATTTAAAGACATTTTTGCAAGTCGAAATAACTTAAACAATGATTCAAATTATTATTATTTTTGACATTCTTGAAGCTCTACTGGTTAATAATGCCTATGGTTGTTTCAATTTGACCTCAAACAAACAAGTATTCTATGCAATTCAGTTTACTTTTTTATTTTGTACATGTTCAGAGCTATAAAAACACATAAGAACACCAAATGAACAATTTACTTCAATATGAATAATTTAAGAGGTGTAATCATAGTACTTTTCTTCCTTTTCACCGTCTCTTGTTGTGTGTTATACTTTAAGAAAATAAAAATAATTCCAGCTCACTCTGGTGTCTCGCCCCCTGCAGGTGGACAGCGTGGACATCCAGGGCTTCACCAACCAGCAGGCGGTGGAGGTGCTGCGCCACACAGGCCACACGGTGCACCTCAAGCTGATCCGGAGGGGCTTCAGGCCCGAAGACCTCCCCCCCGCTGTGGCCCCCAGCATCGGCGTGCTGCCCCCCCACACCACCATCCCCACCACCACCATAGTGCTGGAGGAGCTGGAGCTGGAGAGGAGGAAGGCAGAGGAGGAGGCTGCGGCACAAGGTAGGGACTTAATGAAAAGAGACAAAAACACACTACCTGAGAAAAGGGGACATTTGATGTGTGAACATGTGTGGCTCAGAGAGGAGATATGGCGCAGTAAAGACTGACAGCAAATAGAGATTTATTTTATCAAAGAAAGTTACACAACTTAAACCAGCAGCATATTAAAAAGATATTGCAATTTAGAAATATGCTCAAAACTCTTAAAATGTTAGTAAAACCTACTGGAATCACTTTAACCTACGTTTTGTTGAGATATACATTTTCTTTTGGCATCAACTTTTTTTTACAAAAACACAATTTTAAAGTGTAAAACCTTTCCAAAAAAAAAGGTGTGTGGGTCGGTTCTTTCTTACGTGTTAATATCTGTATTTTGAACAAATGCAGGCTCTATTTTTAATGTCTCTACCATGATAGAGAGCTAGACAGCTTGTTAACGTAACTCATGTGGGAATATTTATGATTATCCCAAATGTCGAACAATAAAATCCTATATTGTCCCGTCTCTACTAGCAGCTGTTTTTTACTATTCAAAGTTTTATTTGTTGAAATCTTTTCCCTCCGGCATGGAAAAGACATAATGAAAATAGAAAAAGAGCCAAGGTTTTCCATCGTGTTGTTTAAAACCTGAAAAAGACCAAGTCATAGAATTAAAAACATCAACATAGGCATCCAACGTTGAGTTACAGCTAAACACAAGGCTTAGAAACTTTTGAATGTGAAATGATTGTGTTTTTTTGCAATTAGCAGCCATGACAAGCAGGTTTCTATTGGTGTCGGCTAAATAATACATTTTGCATCCCTAATAAAAATGACACATTATAAGAGTGTGTGTTCCTCAAACTTTTTGAAACACAATAGTTTGTTGAGTTAGAATTTATTTAAGCTAATTTACTGTGCATGAGATCATAGGTTTGATGTGGAGTTGTAATGGGTCATTTCATGTTTGGGATTAACAAAATTAATTTAACTACTCGCTTAAATTGTTGCCAAGTCAGTGTTCAGGTTGTTGGAGCACACACACATTCACACACCAGCAGAGGAGCTAGTATTAGTTTTATGTGAGCACTTAAAAGGTGCTGATGTACAGCGTAGTAATTTCATGGGCGGCCACTCCGGTGCCCTGTGGAACTCCAGAGACATAAACAGCGGTGTGAAGCTGTAAAAGAAAACACACGAGGGTCATTAAACAGATATTTGAAGTTTAAAGTCTGTCATAATGGGTATCATCAGCACACACAGGTAAACCCTTTTTTAAGATAATAGGAGGAGAATATTTTTCTAAAGTGAGGGTCATTATGAAAAAGATAGGAAATTCTCATACTACTGTAATTTGGAAGAATTAAATAATAGAATACCAAATAACAAATAATATTAGCTCTAGTGTTACATAGTGCTCGAAAAGCAGAATAGGGACTCGTTAAAGTCCACAAAAAAAAATTGATCTGTGCCAAAGGGAGATGTCTACTCTTGTTTATTTTATTTCTAACACTATTTCTCATAAATCATAGTAAACATACACACAGTTCTGTTATTATAATTTTGAAAATGAAAATATTGTTACGACACATTTTGAGCTAATCTTAAAAAATGTGTACCAACACTTAATTCCTCCTGACTATGTGCACATGCTTTCTGTATCACATGCGTAAGGTGAATCTTGATAATTGTGTGGAGTTTACTGAGCACCTCTAAGTGCAGAGTAGAGCACCTTTTCCCTGACGTGTGTGTGTCTTCCTCACTCCTCGCTGTCTGTTCACAGTCGCCGCAGATGAAAAGCCACCGCAGACAAAGAGCGAAGTGTCGGATGTCGGCTCGACCTCGGATCAGCTGACGGACGACACACATGGTAGGAGGAACTCTTCTTTAAGATATGTCTGACACTGTGTGTCAGGAACACACGAGCAAACACACGGTGGAGATGAAACACTGGCATGTGTTTAAAACATTCAGATAACGTTTTTCTTACGTGGGTCAGAGCTCGAACACTTTGCAGATAGTTAGAAATGTAAGTCACTATGCAGGCTGAGTTTATCACGTTTTAGCATTTTTTCTCGTTTTGTGCATTAATGCTTTGCTGTTGTGTTTTCCAAGGGATGAAGCTAACAGCCTTTGAGGAAGAGGCACTGATGAAGAAGTGGCTCCAGATTCTGGGTCCAAGTAATGAAGTTGTAGTAAGTTTTGTTTTCAATATTAATTGTTTTCTCTCATGCATTAAATTAGATTTCAACCCATTAGTCTACTAAAAGATGAGTTTATTAATTGTTGCGATAATCTAACTTTGGAGTCATTAAGCATGCAAGAGTGTCACACAGTAGTGTTTCTTGAATCTCAAATATGGAGACGTTCTGTTTTTTTTCCACTTTATATATCTTGGACTGACAAAACAAGACATTTGAAGACGTCAGGATAGACCGAAGCATTAATCTAGAAAATAATCAGCAACATAATGGATACTTGCATTTTGACTTGGCTGTTAACATAAAACTGCTCTCTTTAAAAAAGCGGAATGACCTGAGTGGCAACACAAAAGGGATTGAGATATAACTGGGATGTTATTCTACAGGTGGCTCAGGTGGAGAAGTTCAGTGCGAGCAGCGGGCTGGGCATCAGTCTGGAGGCGAGCAGCGGCCATCACTACATCCGCTCCGTCCTTCCTGAGGGACCTGTGGGTCGCTGTGGGAAGCTCTTCAGTGGAGATGAACTGCTTGAGGTGCAAAAAACACACTTTTAACAGTGTTTCCATTTTGTCTCTGACATTTTTGCCATTAATAATTACAAAGGCTGAACTATCAACATGTACCTACTACTACTACTACTACTACTACTACTACTACTACTACTACTCCTACTACTTACCTACTACTCCTACTACTTACCTACTGCACCTAAATGAAGCTAATGCTAGCCTCTCCTCTCTCAGGTCAACGGCTTGTCTCTGATTGGTGAAACGCACAAGGAAGTGGTGAGGATCCTGAAGGAGCTCCCTCTCTGCGTCTACATGACCTGTTGCAGACCCGCCCCCCACCTGCAGATTGACATGCACGATGTCCAACCAGAACCAGAGATTCTGTCTACAGTGTCTGCATTAAAGGTACTGCAAATGCAATGCTCAAACATAGCAGATTTACTCGAATGTATTATTGTTTTAATATACATTTTAATGAGCATTAGATTGCATTTGTCAAGCATGATTTGGGAGTAAACAAACTGAATTTTAAAGGCTATTGTAGCAGAAGATGCATTCAAGTCGAGTTGGAAACTACACACCTGAGCATGCATTGATGTATCATGAAATGATTTCCCATTTCTGCATATGAAAGGGAATATGGAGTGCAATGTTCTCCCGCTATTAAAACCCATTGCTCGTTATTAGCTTAGACTGCCAAGGCACAC